CTGGAAATATACAATAAAAAGTTAATCACATATACATTAAGCTTTTCATAATAAACATTGAAAAAAAAACTAAAATTACTGCCCTGGCTGGTGTGGCTTCGTGGACTGACTGCCGGTCTGCAAACTAAAGGGTCGCAGTTTGATTCCCAGTTTAGGGCACATGCCTAGGTTGTGGGCCAGGTGCCAAGCAGGGGTCACGCAAGAGGCAACCACACATTGATGTTTCTCTCCCTCTCTTTCGCCTTCCCTTCCCCCTCTCTAAAAAGAAATAAAAATCTTTAAAAAACAAAAACAAAAAAGTTACAAATTATCTAGAAATTAACAAAATGGAGAATACTGGATAACAAAACAAATGAGATAACAGCAAAAGGAGAATTCAGAGGCTATTCCAAGGTTGCCAGTTCGGTCCCCAGTCAGGGCATATATTCTCTTGCAGGAATCAACCAATGAATGCATAAATAAGTGGAACAACAAATTGATGTTTGTTTTTCTCTCTCTCCCTTCCTCTCTAAAATCAATAAATAAATTTTAAAAAAATGAATATTAAAAATATGACTACGAGGCCCTCGCTGGTGTGGCTCTATGGATTGAGCGCTGGCCTGACTACCAAAGGGTTGCCAGTTCAATTCCCAGTCAGGGCACATGTCTGGATTTTGGGCTAGGTTCCCTGGTTGGGGGCATGTGAAAAGGAGCCGATCTGTGTGTCACTTGCACACTGGTGTTTCTCTTCCTTTCTCCCTCTCTTCCCCTCTCTAAAAAGTAAATAAATAAAATTAAAAAAAAAAAAAGACTATGAGGATGTAAAGTACAGAATAAGAAATAGAGTCAGTAATATTGTAATAACTATGTACCCTGCCTGCCAGGTGGGTACTACAAATACTAATGGGATCACTTTGTGAAACATATGATTGCTTTTTCACTATGCGGTACCCCTGAAACTAATACAAAATAATGTTGAATGTAAACTGTAATTGTAAAATAAAAATTTTAAAATAATAATTACTCACACCGCCTCCCCGCGAAAGACTTTAAAAAAAATAAAAAAGAAGAAAAGCCAACCCTGACTGGTGTGGCTCAGTTGGCTGGGCATTGTCCCACAAAGCAGATTGCTGGTTTGATTCCTGGTCAGGGCATGTGCCTGGGTTGTGGGTTTGGTCCCTGGTCGGGGCCATAGGAGAGGCAACCAATCGATGCCTCTCTCTCACATAAATGTTTCTCTCTCTTTCTCCCTCCCTTCCCCCTCTCTAAAAATAAAGAATGAAACTCTTTAAAAAAAGAAATCAGAAAGTAAAATAAACCAGGAGAAAATGAATGGGAGGTGGAAATAAAGATAAAAGCCATGCTTAATTAACTAGGGACAACTTAAAAATCAGTCCAAAGAATAAAGCCAATATCTGGCTTCTTAAAAATTCCAACAAAAGCTCTGGCTGGTATGGCTCAGTGACTTAAGGGCCTTCCTGAGAACTGAAAGGCAGCCAGTGTGATCTCGGGTTAGCCTGGGTTGCGGGCCAGGTCCCCAGTTGTGGGGGGGGGGGGGGGTATGAGAGGCAATCCATGTATGCTTCTCTCTTACGTCAATGTTTCTCCCCTCTCTTTTTCCTTCACTGACCTTTACCTTTACTTTTACTAAGACAATATTGACCGACAGTCAACTGTGCATGTTGAGTTGGTTTTTTAAATTGTGGTGGTTCCTAATCTTACTCCTTCTCTTGTAAATGAAGGTAGATGGGAGACATCTTAGGGTAAGAGATTTCCTGTACCACCTACACTGGCATTTAGAGGATTTCTCTAACAAACTGGCCCACATTCACTCTACAGTTAAGAACAACTATTTAAAACTAATCTTAAATCCCCTTAAAGTCACTTTAACGATTTAAAGTTAATTTTATATCCCTTTAAGTGTGTAAAAATCCTTTTAAGATTTAAAACCCAAACTTTAAGAAAAGTTGCTTGATTTCCCTCTGGGCACAGAGGACAAAATCTCCCTTGCATCATTCCCAGCTACACTGCCTTTATCATATCAAGGACTACTTGCAGTTTTTATTGGTCTCCACATTTTGACATAGTAAGCAAGGACCAGCAACTCCATGCATCCTCTCCTCTATTGAAACATTGCATGGCCCTGGCTAGTGTGGCTCAGTTGGCTGGAGCACTGTCCTGTAAACCAACAGGTTGAAGGTTTGATTCCTGGTCAGGGCACATGAGTATCCAGACAATGTTCTAACCAACTGAGCTACCTGACCAGGGCAGGAATTTTTTAAGTGTATTTTTCATTCTCTGTAATCTCAGCAGCTCTTTAACTACAGTGTTATGAATGCAATTAACCATTTATTCTATAATAAAGTTAAAGGATTTTAAAAGAAAAACCTATTTAAAAATAAAGTTTTAGGCTTATAAAAAAACAGAACAAAATAAAAGCCCTGGCTGGTGTGGCGCAGTGGATTGAAAGCAGGCCTAGGAACCAAAGGGTCACTAGTTCGATTCCCACTCAGGGCACATGCCTGGGTTGCAGGTCAGGTCAAGGGGGAAAGGGGGTACATGTGAGAGGCGACCACACACTGATGTTTCTGTCCCTCTCTTTCTCCTTCCCTTCCCTTCTGTCTAAAAATACACAAATAAAATCTTATTTAAAAAATAAATAAAGCTTTAGGGATTTCTAGGCATTACTAAAATTAAGTATCTTTTCTCCAGATAAAGGCTGCACAGTATTGGGAATGCACCTTATTAAGTGGGTGCAATAAATTCTACAGTGGGTATTTTTTCTAAATAGTAAAAACTATCCTTGAAAAAAAATCACTTATAGTGTAGTCCTTATGTCTTTGGAAGCTCAAACGTTAATGTCTTAGGCTATTTTCTGTATTTAGGTGATACATACCCCGCTGGGTACATGGGAGTAGGAAAGACGATGGGAAAAACAGAGATTTATTGCCCCCACCTCCACATAGTGTAGGTATTATGATAGGATTCCAATGTGTCCAGCTGATTTAGTCCTTAAGGAAAACATTATAATTTGGAGTGTTTAGTAGCTGAAAGTCTGCAGTTTTTGCTTCAATATGGTTTACAAATTTTAAGAAATGTAACTCTCAAAAGTTGCCATAGCCTTCTTAATTTTATACCCAAAGAAATACAATTTGAAAACAGTGCATAGATTTACATGCATCTTATTATACAAATCAGTATATGTGGCACTTATTCATCATCCACTCTGTATTAAAAATATTAACTCAGGCCCTAGCTGGTGTGGCACAGTGGGTTGGGTGTTGTCTGTAAGGTTACCCGTTCAACTGTAGGTCAGGGCACATGTCTGGGTTGCCCACAGCCCAGTTTGGGGGCGCTAGATCCATGGTTCTCTCCCTCTCTTCTTCCCTTCCCCTCTCTTTAAATATAAATAAAATCTTTAAAAAAATATACTGTTAACTCAGGATTCCATTCCACAAGCTTTTATAAAACTTCTGCTCAAGTGAAAATGGAGTTGGAAACAAAAAACTTGTAATTTAGTTGGGGCCACAATACCCACACATGAAAAGAACACTCATAAAACACACAAAAACCTGGAAATTAATTTCGTGCAAGGGAAGGGCCTGTTGTTCCTTACTACTGAACATCTCCCACTGAAAGTGTTTAATTAATTCTACCCCCTTAGGAGGTGAGTTTTAAACTAAGAATAAGAAAACAGGTACTTTTCTCCTTTAATATCCATTCATTCATATTCCACCTCCCTCTCCCCCCCTTGCTCCCTGGAGGTGGGCTGGCCAGGAGAAGGAGAAACACTGGAAGTGAAGTGCTACCCTGAACTGACCAAACACACTGACTAGGAAAGTGAAAACTGAGATGCGTTAGTGATGAACCCATGAAGGTGCTTAGCCACTTACCCAGAGATTTACTTAATGAGAATGGATCGCGGGCTTCCACAGGCCGTTCCACTGCCAGTAAGAAGAGAGTCGTGAACCTTGGGTCCCTTTTTTCACTAGTCAAGAGTCACCCTCACCTACACGCGGAGTACATATTTGGCACTCAGCAAATCTTGATCTCATGAAAACCAACCTCACTCACTCGTACCCAACCCCGGAGTGATGGACCCAAAATTACCTCCAAAAACCCTCGGGACTTAATCCAAAGAATTGAGAAAGTAGAGATTAGAGCCAGGGGATCTTTGTAAAGACTGGGAACAATCAGGGGCCAAGGCAGCCTACACCAACCCCACTTCGCAAAAGAAAGCTCAGGGGAACGAACTGCGGTTAGTCCGCTTCAGCTTCCCAAGGAGTGACGCGACAGGCCGCAGCTCCATAGCCTCCCACCCGGGGGCGCTGAGAGATCTGGGGGTACCCCTCTAAAGTTAGTACCTGCAAAGCTGCGACTCAAAGAGTGGCTCGGGGCTCTCATTACGGTGGCCGGGGCCTGGGGCCGGCCAGCTTCACCTCCCGGCTGAGGGCTCCGCGCTCCGGGGCAGCAGTGGCAGCCCGGGTCGTAGATAGACACCGTATCAAGCCTCAGAAGGCTCGTGGCTCGCAGGCCCGAGGTATTCGCTCTCAGGACTCAGCGAGTTGTCGCACTCACGTTGACCGGAGCTCTTTAAAGCTCTCCTCACAGCTCAAGCGATCACGCCTGTCTGAAGCCCAGCAGCCGGTCGCTTCCCGGCGCCGCCATCGTTAGTGTTTGTTTTCATCCGCTTCGGAGAAGGAGGGGGGAGGGAGAGGGTTACGAAGGAAATACAGCTGTGTAACTTCAGCCGCACTTTCGCTACATACAAACGCCATAGTTAATCTCTTTCCTCTTCGAAATTCCCATAAAAGTTTATTTCTTTTCCATAGATGCCTTTATGATCAATATTTCCAAGCGTCTCAGAAGAAAATAAAACCTTAAAGGACGGGGTCTTTGAAAGAGCGAGGACGTTTGGGCCGCGTGAGGAATGTGCACTTGCGAACCGCAAGTCACCGCGCCAGCGGCACCGGGCCGCCGCGTGGGCGCCGTGGCGGACTGTGAGCCACTGCTGGCTCTGAAGGAGGGCTGGACCAGGCTGGGTGGGTGGGGACTGGGGCTGGTAACCTGGCAGCCGTCGAGAGGTGGGTGACTTTAGCTGGACTATGAGAGTGGCCGGCGCCATAAGATTTATGGAATATCTCGTGCTCCGTATTTTTAAGGCGCTTATTGAAAGCGGCTGTGTCGCCCGCCAGCCTTAGGTTTCTCAGCGTCTTCTTTCGCACCTTCATTCTAGTTTGTTTGCTCTTCTGTACTTTCTAGTCCTCAGCCTCACTATTGTGAGAGCACAGGCTACGTCCACCGGTCGTAGGTGTTCCCCCCCCTACCCTCTTCTCCCTTGTTAGGCAGGTTTGAGCGCGCACACACACCCATCCGTCCTGTTCAGGTGGTGCCAGAAGGCTTTGGGTAATGAAACCCGCCATGACTAACCCCAGCCCTGGGTAGTTCCGACTTTTGTCAGTTGCTTCACGGCCCGTATAGTCAGGAGCAGGCCTCTTCTACCTTGTGGCTAATTATGTCATCTCCTCCATTAATCTTTTACTCCTCCCAGTTAAAATACTAGGCATTAAATGAGCCACTGAAATACAACTCCCATTATCCTTGAAACCAAAACAAAAACTGTCATGTCAGCCAGGAGTTAGTGGAGGAAAACCCAGAGTTAAAGTGTAGCACCTTTTGCTTGAACAAAATGGAAATTTGAGAAAAGGAGCTATTGTAGCCTTCGAATCACTTTCAAATCTTTAGTAGATTTCTAATTTTTTCTTTTAACCTTTACAGAAAGAAGATTATAAATGCCAGAGCCATTTAACTAATGGTTAGCTGTTGCATTCCGACACTTCTTTAAATATCTTCTTGCACCAAAGTCTTCATTGGGAAGAATTCAGGAAAAGTAGCAGAGGGAAAGAGTGTCAACATTTACATGTACCATGGCTATACCAATAACGGTGCTTGACTGTGATCTCTTACTCTATGGCCGGGGTCACCGGACATTGGACCGTTTTAAGCTTGATGATGTGACTGATGACTACTTGATGTCCATGTATGGTTTTCCTCGACAGTTCATTTATTACTTGGTGGAGCTCTTGGGAACCAGTCTTTCTAGACCTACTCAGAGATCCAGGGCTATTAGCCCAGAGACTCAGATCCTTGCAGCACTGGGCTTCTATACTTCAGGTTCCTTCCAGACTCGGATGGGAGATGCTATTGGAATCAGCCAGGCTTCAATGAGTCGATGTGTTGCCAATGTCACCGAAGCACTTGTGGAAAGAGCCTCACAGTTCATTCACTTTCCAGCTGACGAAGCATCCATTCAAGCTCTGAAGGATGAATTCTATGGGTTGGCTGGGATGCCAGGGGTGATAGGAGTGGTTGACTGTATCCATGTGGCAATCAAGGCACCAAATGCTGAAGACCTCTCCTATGTGAACCGCAAAGGTCTGCATTCTTTAAATTGCCTGATGGTGTGTGACATTAGAGGGGCACTAATGGCTGTGGAGACAAACTGGCCAGGCAGCCTACAGGACTGTGCTGTGCTCCAGCAGTCTTCCCTCAGCAGTCAGTTTGAAGCTGGAATGCACAAGGATAGCTGGCTGCTTGGTAAGTTTGCAGGTGGAAATGCTTCATTTTGTAGCCATAGAATTATGCAGCAGAGTAAATGAAATATGGGAGTTGATAGACTTGAGTCTCAGTTCCATCCTTTTTCTGAGATCTCAAGCTGAGAACTCTTTGAGCCTTAATTTTTAAAAATCACCATTTTAAAGGTCATGTATTAAAGTTTTAAGAGCATATTATTTCACCCAAATCTTCCACTTCTAAGACGTTACGTGGAGGTGCATGTTCATAAATATGAACATTGGTGGTGTAAAACAAAATTACATACAAGAATTTGCTTTGCACTAGTGTTTTTTTAAAGACTTTCTTTCTTTTTTTTTTTTTAGAGAGGGGAAGAGAGGGAGAAAGAGAGGGAAACATCAGTGTGTGGTTGCATTTTGCATGCCCCCTGCTGGGGATCTGGGCGGCACCCCGGGCCTGTGCCCTACACTGGGAATCGAACCGGCAACCCTTTAGTTTGCAGGCCGGTGCTCAATACACTGAGCCACACCAGCTAGGGCTACAGTAGTGTTTTGTAGTTGCAAACAACAACAAGCTTACAAAAACAGTCCCTTATATGCAGCCAAAATATGTATCACTATAGATCTGGTTAAATAGCCATACAATTGAAACTTGGTTTTTTATCATCAGTACTGTGGTGAAAATAATGTCAGCAGCAATAATACCTATTGTTAGGGTTAGACAAGTTCACTATAAAATATTGTACAAATATACTATTTTTGCTATTGATGATTGTCACTATATCTGTGTGAAAATGATAGTAGGCAGTGCACTTACATAGTTGTTAGAGGAACTTCACAGATCTCTCCAAGTGCCATTGGAAAGCCTGGCTTAGTGATAGGAGTAGTACAAGACCCCCTCATTATCGAAGAGTGCAAACTGAGGGGACTGTTCAGCTGTGAGGGATATGGCTAACAGTGACAAAACCCTTGAGCACAGTAGTTTTGGTTGGTTGGTTGGATTTTTTTCTTTTTTGACTCTGATGTGAGCAACAAGACAAGGGTTATCTTATATACAACATATGTGGGAGATGAAAAGATACATTAAGGATTTGAAGACAACTTTTTCAAAACCAATGATCATATCTGCACTGTACATGTTCAAAACACAGTGTTTAATACTCAACACTTGTTTCTCTTTACTGTGCTTACTGGTTCATAAAAGAGAAACCTCTCCTGTTCCAAGTGGGAAGAGACTGCTGTCGCACTAATTGGTTTAGAGCTGCCAGGGTGCTATGTGTAACAGCTTGGAACTGGGTGATTTTTCTTGAATTGTTGTTTCGACATACTCTTTGCAGTGAGTGTACCACCTTCTCATTACTGGACCTTTATCTTAATCCTATTGTGTGCCTACTTTGGACTTTCAAATTTCATACAACGCATACCAAGAAGTGAAGGAAAGTCTGTTTTGCGAGCGTTCCACCTAGCCACTTCCACAACTGTGGGACTACTTTGGTTCCAAGCTCATTTCATATGAAATTACTTTGGTACCCTAACTATAAAGCCAGCTAAAATTCACTGATTATTTAAAATTTGTCAGGCAGTGTTGTAAGCACTTTGCTTTGGGTTATCTCACTTAATCCTTATAAAACTCATAAGGAGTTAAATACTAATACAAACGTTTTTACAGATGAGGAATTAAGGCACAGATTGTTTAAATCTCCATGTTTAACTTTTAAAACTAGATTATATGAGCCCTCCAACCCCCCACCCCAGCACCCTGATTCTTGGACTTCCCAGCCACCAGAACTGTGAAATAAATGTCTGTTGGTTAAAACAAACAACAACAAAAACTAGATTATATGAGGAGTGACTCTATTTGGCAAATACTGCTTTTTTTTAATCACTTCAAGGTCATGTAGGAATTACTGATTTTCTTTCTCTTCACACCTTGGGACCCCAGACTGGGTTGAAATGGCTCTAAAGTAGTTTTTTGAATGCTCACAGGAAAGTTGAAATTAAGTAAAAACTCTGACAAATGTTTATATGCTTTTTTGATTCCCCTCTTTATAGGAAGAGTAGAACTGTGAGAGATGGGTATTCCAACAATATTAACAAATGTTTATGAAGGCCAGTTTTGGTACCAGGCCACATGCCAGGCACTAAGGATGGGGCAAATAAACCCACACAGAAACTGATTCCCTGAGTACCATCAGTTGTGAGGGAACTGACACATACACTCTTTGGAAAGCCAGCTCCAACAGAAAAACTAGTCTGAAGACCCCTGGATTACTATAATGTTTTGCAAATTTCCCAAGTCCTCTGGGGATTTATTAAAAGTGTGTATCATTGGGCCCTACTTTAAACTTTGAGAATGAGAATCTTCAAGGAAAGAATCTAGACTTCTGTTTTTAACAGCTATGCTAAATGATTCGTACAGATAGGTTTGAAAAACACTGGTGTCTAGAGGATGTGTGGACGGCGGGGTAATATTGGGGTAGGACTGTCAGGATTATGAAGAATGTTAAGATGTTAAAAAAAAGAAGATGGCTAGCTGGTAGTATCTTAATACCATCCGATTTATGAAGTGGCAAATCTAGAATTAGCTGTGATGCTCCTTTATTTTCTGGGGGTGTTGTAAAGCATATTTTCATCCCTTCATGTCCTCATTCTCACCTGTCCCTTCAGAGGGCGTTACCTAATTCCCCTTTTCTAAATGAATGTGTTCCTGCAAACAAAGCAGCCCCGAGTTCTTATTCCATCAGCTTTTGGCCTAGTCCTATTAAGCAGCTTTGGTAAAACCTGCTGGAATGCCTTGTGGATGGCTGACCATGTAAGCAGTTGTAATCTGTGCAGCAGTTCCGATCCTCTTCCCCTCCTGAGCGTCTGACTCCCCGTGGTCCTTGGGTTCTAAACCCAGTTAATGACCACTGAGCACTTTATAAAAAGCCTGCATTAACTAGTTTGTCCTGTATGTCTCCCCATTTAAGGCTCATGCTGTTTCTTACAGAAATATTTAACAAATACCATTTAGTATCTCTGTGTTTTGGCATTCATCTTCAATGTTTATCTTCCTCTCTTTTACTGCATTACTCTATTTTTTTTTTTTTTTAGTGGCACTGAGCCTGACATTAACATTAGTGACTGGCTTCTTCTCCTTCCTTTGCCTGACATATCAAAGGGTGGCTGACATGTATTTTGATCTTCTCATTTGTAAAATGAGTTTAATGTTATTTAAACTGGAAGAGTTGGGATTAGATAACAAGAGATAATATTTTCAAGGAGCATTTGAGATCTTGCTTCTGGGCATATGTTATTGGTTTGGCTCAAATTAAGAGAAAAAAAAGGAGACAATATTTTAGAATTGTCCAGCAGAGTGCGTTCTACATAATAGCTACTCAGTGAGTCACAGATATTATTTTCATTAATATTTACAACAGTTTCTTAAATTCAGTATTTAGTAAGAGTAAATTCAATTTAAATAGGTTGTACTTAGGACAAACAGGAAAAAAGACAGCCAAATATAAAATTTGAAAATTTTGTGAGACTTCTTAGATATTTAGTACAATGTATGTCAATTATATTACAATAAAAATGTTTTAATTACAAAATATTAAAAAATAAAGGTAATCTCCCTGACCTTTTTGGGCATTGTCCTGGAAAATGAAAGGTTGTATGTTCTATTCGGGGTCAGGGTCAGACACACGCCTGGGTTGCGGGCCCGGTCCCCAACTGGGGGCATTCAAGAGACAATGGATGTTTTTCTCCCTCTCTTCCCCTCTCTCTAAAAATAAATAAATGAACTCTTTTAAAAAATAAAAAATAAATTTAATCCAGTTCTTAAAAATGTAAGCTCCTAAAAGGAAGGAGTGCTATATGTTTTGTAATAGTACCTAGCACTCTCCATAACTATTTACTGAAATTGATGGTGAGTCAGGAACAGCAGTTGTGCAAGTTGGTACACCAAGGGCCTGCTTGTCTCAGATTTCTAAGAGGTTGTGCCTCTGTGTGAGACATTTCATCTGCCAGGTGGAATGAGTCAGGACAATTAAACATTATAGAAACATTTGTTAGGACATTGCATCCCAGTTTTTGTTTTATTTTTAGCACTTCCCAAGATCATTTGATAGGTCACCTGAGGGAAATGCCTTGTGTATATTACTATTATTTTTTAAAGATTTTATTTATTTACTTTTAGAGAGAGGAAGGAAGGGAGAGAGAGGGAGAGAAACATCAATGTGTGGTTGCCTCTTCCAAGCCCCCCACTGGGGATCTGGCCCATAACCCAGGCTTGTGCCCCAGACTAGGAATCAAACCAGCAGCCCCCTGGTTTGCAGGCCGGCACTCAATCCACTGAGCCACACCAGCTAGGGCCCTTGTGCATATTATTTTAATTGACTTCTGATTTTATTTTCTTATCACTATTACTATTTGCCTCATTATATGTATGCTCTCCTTGATAAAGTAAAAGTCTCTCTGTTGCAAAAGTGTTGTTTTGGTGAATGTAGTATCTAGGAAGGCGGGACACCTGAGTTCTGGTCTCTACCAAAGATGCTGGGACTGTTATTTTATTCTTCTTAGCACGAGGAGAATGAATTATTATGAAATGCTCTGAATTCCACAAGTAGTACATTCAGACCTGACATTTTAATAGTAAAGTTAGAAATTTTCTTCACAAGTGTTTTGAGATCTCATGGCAGAATTCTTTTCTTTCTTTCTTGAGCTTTAGCTCTTTAGCGATTTTGAAGATTGGTTTGCTATGTGATAGTTTTTACTAACCTTTTATTATCACTAAAAATCCAGGAATTTTATTTCCTCCAGTGCCTTTACCTCTTTCCTACATTTTTTTCAGACTTGGCTTTCTTTAGCGATCAGCTTTTTCCTCTGTTGACTTTAACCAAGGCTAGCCCCAGCTGGGACCCATGTCTGCCTTCTTGTGACTCTGTCATGCCTTTTCTTTACCAAAGCCTTTCCTTCTTGGTTTTTCTGGTGTGCTTCAGTTCCAAGAGGCTGTTGCATTCTCTTGTCTATTCTCTGTATCTGTCCCCGGATTTTCTGTTTTGTTTGTATTCCAATTGCAATCATTTATGATTTCTTTGGGCCTTCCCCACAGGTGACAGTTCCTTCTTTCTCCGTACCTGGCTCATGACCCCACTTCACATCCATGAAACTCCATCTGAATATCGCTATAATATGGCCCATTCTGCAACTCACAGTGTGATTGAGAAGACTTTCCGAACTCTCTGCTCCCGATTCCGCTGCCTGGATGGATCCAAGGGGGCACTGCAGTACTCGCCAGAGAAGTCCAGCCACATCATCTTGGCTTGCTGTGTCCTCCACAACATCTCCCTGGAGCATGGGATGGATGTTTGGTCTTCTCCAACGGCAGGGCCCATGGAACAGCCCCCCGAGGAAGAGTACGAGCACATGGAGTCCCTGGACCTAGAAGCTGACCGGATCCGTCAGGAGCTGGTGCTCACTCATTTTAGTTAATGTGAAAGGTGGGGAGGAGGAAGAAAACCTTCTAGAAGGAGTTGTGACAGACTTCCCCCCCCTCACTAACCTCTACGCAGTTCCGTCATCTAGCATAACTGAGTGGGGACACCTGTCACAAAATGACATTTAATCTGCGTGTTTTTAGAAGAGTTGGGGCTCTGCCAGAATATCTTGATTCATTTGCAATTTTATTAACTAAACCAAAACCAGGACAGCTCCCTACTGTGCATTGAACTCCAGGTTGAGCATCAGTCATTTGAAAGCTCACTGGTTGCTGACATTTATGATTGTGCCTACAACATCAAAACAAAGAGAAAATGACATCGAGCCAGAGCACTTTATTTTTGTTTCAATTATCTGGAGATTTCAATTGAAAACAATATTTACTTGTCCTGGATTATTTAGATGGTATTTTAACTTTTCTGCTTTGTTGCCAATACAGGCATAATCTGATGCAAGTGTAAAAAATAACTTTAAGTTGAAGAATGGCCTTCTAACATTAGTAAATTGCTACTAATTTGAGTTTGCAGCTTTATGTTTTTAAGAAGATGGTGGGTACGGTGTGAAACCTAAAACTTTTGTCTTTAGTCTTTCTGCAATGATTGGACTGTGTCCTGGACCTAGTTCCTAGGGAGAACATCTGGACTCCAATCTCCTATTTCCAACCCTGAGTAGGAGCTAGAGGCTAAATGGGGTAAGAACCCTATCAGCTTGAGGAAAAAAAGTCAAATATAGATAGTATAGCAGGCTTACACTTTACAGGGGATCTAAAGACCCTGATTGTGTTGTTAGAATGTCTGTTTGGCTATTAGGCTTCTAAAGTCCTTGTACTGAAGGAATATTTCAGGAATAAAGAAGGCATATGAAAGTATTAAGAAGTAGGTAAAAAGAACATAATTTCACTTGAAATTAATTTCGAAGTTAGATCTCCCTGAATATCTTATATGCCGAGTGATAGACAGAATTTCCCAGGAAATAAATAATTCCCCACCACATCTTATTCTAAAATTATACTGATACAAAAATAACCTGATTGGAATAATGAAAGTGTAAATTAGGTTCACACATTGGTGCCTTTGCAAGGACAAAAAAAGAGACTTTCCTGAGGATTATCTTGTTTTTCATCCACTCACCATGTGATACCTCTGAATTATACTCTTGGATCATTTCCTACCTGCCTTTGGCAATGTTAATCTAGTAATGTTCAAAGTAAAGAAATGAACAGCAGATGACAGAGAAACTTGGAAATAAATTGAGGGTGACTCATCCACAAGATTAAAAACAATTATGGATTATTATCTGCTATTTATTTCTACTCCAAATGCTATTTTTCCATCATCATCCTACACCATAAAGAGTAGGTCCATTTGGCAGTAGGTTGAGCTTACTATGTACAATGAAGTCATTGAGATGGGAATGGACAACAAAGAGGTGACTGTAAACTTTAGCTCTACTTATTGTGCAATAGAGGTGCCCTGTTACATTTTTTTTCTTTGTAAAGTTTCACTTGAAATCCAGGCTTGCTTTGTTTCCTTCATAAGGCAATATTTTAACTCTCACAGTCTTTCCAACTTTCCTGAGGTGGATATTTTTCCCTATCAAGTTTTGGTTCTGATTATTGCATGAGGAAAAGGTTACTGCCACCCATGTGTCACAAGTGGCAAGGTGGAGTGTAATCTTGGAAAGTGCCTAGTATTTTAGCCTTAAAAAACTACATTAAAGGAAAATTGGGGCTTTCACAAGTCAATAGAGGTTGACATGAAGTCTGAGTTGGAAAGACAGTCTTGGAGAGATTTCAAAAGCAATTTCAAGTCTTACTTACATACCAAAGATAATTTCTAAGTGCTGGACTGGCTAAACATTGGCTGGCAGTGTTTCTCCCTGGGAGCATTTTATTAATATTTCCTAATAATTCTACAGAGTAACTGTGTAAATATATTCCTTTAATCTCCTTTCAATCTGGATTTTGACAGAGGCCAGGATTTTTTCAGTTCATAGCTTCATTTTCCCCAAAATGACCTGGGGAAGAGATCAGGGTCTATACTTCCAAACGGCCAAGAGTTTGCTCAGGCACTTATATAAAGTGCCTGAGAATTCTCCTCTTGAGGGGTTTATTGTGGATTAATAGTGTCTTCCTGGTTCCATCTTGGGAAAGAGTAAAGGATTTTGCCTGTCTTATGTAAGCCTCATCTTCCCATAGACGACCATCTGGTCAGCATAGACCAGATGGCATCATACAGTGAAGATGTATAAGGGGTGGGGAGGGGTAGAGGCTAGACAGATAATGGACATACTACAATTGTGTCTCTGCCTGAAACTACTGAAAACAACTCAAGAGCTGAGCTTACTAGTCACTTTCCCTGGCAATGGAGGAGAATTTAGGAGGAAGACAAGAAAATAAATCAGTGAGTGTTAACCATTGTGCATGCACATGTCCTCAGAATCCAGGGCGCATGGTCTCTGGATCCCACCCAGATCGTGTGAAGCTGCGGACTCAGAATTAAGTAAGGCTTTATGGATTGCGAGAATGGACATGAAAGAAGAAAGGTAAAATACTAACTGAAGGCTGGGGATGCTCTAGTTCCCTAGTACATAAAATTCACAGGATTTAAAAAAAATACGACTGCAATCTAATCAAATATGAGAGATGAGATCTCTGGATCCTAAATAGGAGCAAGGAAAGGAGACCTTGAAACCACAAGTTAGGGAAAAAAAAAAAAAGTCTATTTGAAAGGAATCTCCATGTTTGCCCAGCAAAACATTAAGTATCATTCTGTTGAGACTTACTCTAACTTTACATATACAGCTTTCTTCATGGAAGGGTGGACTTCTTATTGTTCTATAGTTTTAAAATGTTCATGCATTTTAATCCATTGATAAATTCCACAACTGGAAAATTTATTTTGTATCTGAGTACCATGTATATACATTAAAAACACATCCACACATTACAATTCTACAAATTTACATGAATGCATAGAAATCTTTTGTTTGTTTGTTTTCTCACCACTGCTGGAAATTTACTCAATATAAATAATTCCAAAGAAGGAAAAGCCTCCTTGGATCTCTGAGCTGTTCCTGTATAACCACCACACCGCTTCTAACATTACCATCCAGCCCAAAGTATGTACATTATCCTACAGTGCCATGAGACCAGGTTACAAAAGAACTGAATAAAAAAAAAAAAAAAATAGAATTGCAATAGCAAAACCTACAACTGGCTCATCATTGTGGCTGCTTAAGGCGTAACTACTTCCTGGACTTCCTAATAAGAGGACTCGTGGTACTGCTAGTTATCCTAGGTTTAGGCCTGGATTTGTTTCTCAGAGCACAAAGCTAAGGTAAGGATCATATCCTTTCCTTCGCTCCTCTCCCCTCCTTTCACCCTGTCTTATCTTCAAAAGGTGGGGGGCTACCCTAGGAGAATCCTATGAAAATACAATAATTAACAATCAAAATAATAATGAATTACTGAATCCTAACGCCAATATGTGGGCAGTAGTGATGCATCCCAGAATGATCGTTACTTCTGCCCACCTGTTTTCCTTTTTTCAGGTCGTCCTTCCTGTAGTTTTGAGGGTTTCAACTGATCCCTTGTGATCTACTCTTCTGTCCAGTAGACTTCCCCATAACAACAAGTGTACTGTCGTCACACTGAAGCTTAACCCGCACTTGAAACAGTTCTCTAAAGAAATGTATCTGTAGAAATGCAACTTTGCCAGGAGAATAAAGCTAAACCATCTTTAAAATAATTTTTTTGGATCCTCACTCGAGGATATGGCTATTGATTTGAGAGAGAGAAAGAAAAAAACAGTGTGATCCATTGGTTTCCTCCTGTATGGGCCCTGGGGACCAAATCCACAACCTAGGTATGTGTCCTGACTGGGAATCAAACCCACAACCTTTGGGCGCACGGGATGACACTCCAACCAACTGAGTCACCCAGCAAGGGCAGAATAAGCCACCTCTTTTTATGATATCACAGAACAGTCTAAATCAGCTTCTTCTAAATCTCCATTTTCAGAGAATGATTTCAGATTTATATTTGCATAACTTTCTGTTGTTTTTCCCAAAGTAAAAGCCTCCAGCTTTTGAAAAACTGAAAACTTCTTGCAGCCTTAAAATTACTTTTTTTAAAAATCTTTTCTCACTGAAATCAAGGTTTAAAAAAATGTTGTTATTTGGGTCAAGTTTGAATGAGGGCTGTAGTTGTAGACACTGCTGCACATATTCTAAAGCATATATTTTAGACGTAGAAACTCAACCCCAGCATGACAGTAAAGGGAAGTTTACTTGCCCACTCTTCTTCCAGCTCCAGGAATGTGGAATAGACTGCTTATTTATCTGTGACCTAGTACTCACTTGCTCCTGATTTTGGTGGGTTACATGGCTGCCTGGGATAAAGACTAATTGCCAGTTAGATGTGGCAGTGTGACAGTTCTGGCCAGTGGAATGAATATGAGTGGAAATGTCCTATGCTATTTTCAAGGTGTGTCCTTATGGTAAGAGACATGCCTTTCTTCTTTCAAGTTCTTGCTGATGGAATGCAGACATGATTGGCTAGAGCTTGAGCAGCCATCTTGGACCCGAGATGAAAGCCACTTATTTATTTAAAAGATTTTATTTATTTATTTATTTTTGGAGAGAGGGGAAGGGAGAAAGAGAGGGAGAGAGACATCAGTATGAGAGAAACATCCATCAGTTACCTCTCTCTTATGCACCCAGACTGGGGACCGAACCAGCAACCCAGGCATGTGCCCTGACATGGAATCTGTGACCTTTTTGGTTTGCAAACTGACACCCAACCAACTGAGCTATACCAGTCAGGGCATTGATAGTTATTTATTTATTTAAAAGGTTTTATTTATTTTCAGAGAGGGGAAGGAAGAGAGAAAGAGAGGGAAAGAAACATCAACACGTGAGAGAAACATTGATTGCATGCCCCCATCCAGGGATTGGCCAGCAACTCAGGCATGTGCCCTGACTGGGAACTGCCTCCGCAGCCTCCTGTTTCTCAGGCTGGTATTCAACCAGTGAGCAACACCAGCCAGGACATTGGTTGAGTTTTAGAGAGAGTGAGGAAGGGAGAGAGACAGACAGACAGACAGACAGACATTGATTTGTTATTCTACTTATTTATGCATTCATTGGTTGATTATTGTATGTGCCCCAAGTATGGAACCCACAAACTTGACATTTTGGGATCATACTCTAACCAGCTGAGCTACCTAGTGGGGGCCTGAAAGGTACTTACTGAAGATGTCACAGCAACAGAACAGAAGCCTGGTCCCTGACACTGAATGGCCACATCTGTGGATTCCTTTTATGTGACAGCGAAATCTCTGCGTTGCTTCCTTATGCCTTGTTTATGTGCAGTAGGTCCTGATAATAAATAATGAGGCTGTTATAATCTCGTTCCAAGGGTAGCGATACCTATTACACAGAAAATGTTTGGAAGCAACATAATATTAAAAAATGGGGGGCATGGTCACTGTATCCTCTAAATGGAATACTGTGCAAATGTTAAAAATAACTATTAAATACTTCAGTAGGGAAATAATACAATGCAAAACAACAATGCTTGTTATTTCTGCTGAAATTAAACTTTAAAAAATTGTATAGGATATTTCCAAGGATTATGAGGGAACATGAGCTAATTAAAACATTGTGTTTGGAAGCATATTATTAAATTCCTTCTCTCTCTTTTTTTAAGTTTCCATAACTTCTAGCTGTAAAATTCTTTCTCTTTTTTAGACTTTCATCCATGTTGCCATAAGGTTTACTCCTTTTAAAAGCATTCTAAAACAGTGGTAGATAACAAAAGCCCAGGGTTTTGTCCTCATATTATGGATGCTGGTCTCATCCTGCATTTTATATATACATATATGAATTGTCTCTCAAAGGCACTCATTGAAGATGTCAAAGCAACGAACCAGAAGCCTGGTCCCTGACACTGAATGGCCACACCTTACCCTGGGCTGTACATCTTTGGGTTTCTTTTATATGACAGAAATAAATCTGTCATATTATATATATAATTGCCAATTAATATATATAGATATATGAATTGTCCCT